GTGAGGGTGTAGAATGAGGGTGATGGTGTAGAGTGAGGGTATAGAGTGAGGGTGATGGTGTAGAGTGAGGGTTATGGTGGTGAGTGAGGATGAGAGTGTAGAATGAGGGTGAGGGTGTAGTGTGAGGATGATGGCGTAGAGTGAGGGTGATGGTGTAGAATGAGGGTGTAGAGTGAGGGTGATAGTGTAGAGAGAGCGTGATGGTGTAGAGTGAGGGTGAGAGTGTAGAGTGAGGATGAGGTTGTAGAGTGAGGGTGAGGTGTAGAGTGAGAGTGAGGGTGTACAGTGAGGGTAATGGTGTAGAATGAGGATGAGAGTGTAGAGTGAGGGTGAGGGTGTAGTGCGAGGGTGACGGTGATGGTGTAGAGTGAGGGTGATGGTTTAGATTGAGGATGAGGATGTAGAGTGAGGGTGATGGTGTAGAGTGAGGGTGTAGAGTGAAGGTGATGGTGTAGAGTGAGGGTGTAGAGTGATGGTGATGGTATAGAGTGAGGGTGATGGGGTAGAATGAGGGTGTAGAGTGAGGGTGAGGGTGTAGAGTGAGGGTGATTGTGTAGAGGAGCAGGCCATTCCAGTCACCAACCAAGTGAATCTAACTCACCTCCATTAAGTTCATGTCCAAACTGAGGCCAGTTTGATGTGAAGCTTCCCTGTTCTCCAACCCAGTTTCCTGGATTTCTTCTTCTGGGAAGCCCTGGAGCAGCATGCTGGAATATTGGAAGTTGCAGTCCTCCTCCATTCCTTAATGGGATAGCCTCTGGGTTGAGGGGGAGGGGAAGGAGTGCAGCACAACCTTTAACCCTGAGGCTAGGCCAAGGCTCCGGCCTAGCGGGTCTCACAGCCTGGGCACTGGGTACTCCCCCTTCAAAGGACAAAAACACAGGCAAGCAGTTAGTCAGGAGCACGATAGTGTTGATACTCCATTTCCCATCCCCTATCAACTCTATTTACACCTGGGACTCTCATCCCAGGACTGCCCGGCCTGTGAAAGTGGGCAGTAACAGACTGTCAGGGAGCACATAGCAACTCACCTTTCAGTGCCATCCATAGACAATCTCACATTGTGCCAAACAAATATCATGGCCAATGATACGTTGCCTTAGAGTCAAAGTTTTGGGGCAGGAGGCATGGCCGCCAATTTGCATAGATGCGGTTCCCATAAACAGCAACATGGTGGAGAGAATAAGGGTATAATTCCTTTACTGAGCGTGTGTGTAAGGGTGGCGATGTGATAGTGATGTGATAGCACATGGAACTGGACAGTGCGGCTGCAGGACTGCAGCTCAGATAACCTCTACACCTAGACTCCGTCTTTAATAACCTGCCAGGACCCACTCACAGTAGGTTACATCTCATTACTATACATCATCAAGGCAATGCCTGTTCTATAAGAGACTATTATTGATGCCCGAACACCAGCAATAACTCCATTCACCTCCCTCAAAATTGAAGGGACAATCGATAATTGTTCTCTCGCCAACTCAGTGCCAGAGGGAGACAGTGTCCCACCCAGTCCCAGAGGGAGACAGTGTCTGACCCACTGTCCCACACAGTCCCAGAGGGAGATAGTGTCTGACCCAGTCCCAGAGGGGGACAGTGTCTGACCCACTGTCCCAACCAGTCCCAGAGGGAGACAGTGTCTGACCCACTGTCCCACCCAGTCCCAGAGGGAGACAGTGCCTGACCC